AGATGTTATCTCAGAACCATTGTATCATATCTTTAAAAAATCTTGGAAAACTGGGAACTACCAGAGAATTGGAAAAGAGCTGACATGGTTCCTATCTTAAAAAAAAAAGCGGGGGGAAGACCCAGGAAACTACAGACCAATCAGCCTAACATCAATACCTGGGAAGATACTGGAAAAAATAATCAAAAAACAAATCTGTAAACATCTAGAAACAAATAAAGTTGTAACCACTAGCCAGCATGAGTTCATCAATCTTATTTCATTCTTTAACAAAATGACTAAATTAGTAGACCAGTGAAATGTTATGGACATCATATATTTAGACTTCAGGAAGACATTTGACAAAGTAGACCACAACCTACTTTTTAGAAAATTAGAAAAATGTGGGATAGACAGTATCATCACCTGATGGATTTGTAACTATACAAATATATTGAAGGATAGTGGTGGGTTCTGGGTGGTACGGCCTGGTACGGGCATACTTGTGGTAGCTGGGAGCAGTGGTTACCATACCGGAACAATGGACCATTTTGCCCACCTGCCAGCCCGCATTCCTTACTGCTTTTTGAGGCAAACGGGCCAATTGCGCACGCGCCCACAGTGTGCGGTGTCTGCAAGATCTCCGTCAAGCAGCTGCATGTCACTGGGCAGTGGCATGCGCATGTGTGCGCAATGCACATGCCCGTCGAGGACGCCCAGCCCTGTTGCAGCGTATCAGTTGTGACGGGATCCAGAACCCACTACTGAAGTAGTCCTTTCTGGCACTACATCTACATGGAGGAAAGTAAGCTGTAGGGTACCACAAGGTTCCATGTTAGGCCCAGTACTCTTCAATATTTTCATAAATGACTTAGATGAGGAAATAAAAGGAAAATTCATCAAAATTGCATACAACGCTAAGCTGACAGGAATAGCCAACACCCCAGAAGACAAGCTCAAGATCCAAAAAGATCTTGACAGACTTGAACAATTGGCCCTATCCAGAGGTGGGTTGCCAATTTTTCACTACCAGTTTGGATGTGCTCCTGTGTGTGCTCGTGTGCATGCGCAATGCTTCTGCACATGCACAGAAGTGTCTGGGTGGCTGGGCGGAGCCTCCCACTGCCTCTACTACTGATTCAGTCAATCTGGGCCGAACTGGCAGCAACCCACCTCTGGCCCTATCCAACAACATGAAATTTAATGTGGAGAAAAGCAAGTTTGTGATACTCTGGCAAGAAAAACCAAAGGTACAAGTACAAATTAGGTGAAACCTGGCTCAAAAACAGTAACTGTGAGATGATTACTTGAACATGAGTCAACAGAGTGCAACACCAGCCAAAAAAATCTAATACAGTCATTGGTTGTATAAACAGAGGCATAGAATCAAAATCACGTGAATTGTTAGTACTGCTTTATAAAGGCTTAGTAAGGCCACACCTGGAATTTTGCATCCGGTTTTGGTCACCACATTACAAAAAAGATATTGAGATTTTGGAAAAAGTGCAAAGAAGAGCAACTAAGATGATTATAGGCCTGGAGATTAAAATATATTAAAACCAGTTGCAAGTTTGACTAGTCTAGAGAAACAAAGAACTAGGGGTGTGTGATAGCAATATTCCAGTATTTGATAGGCTGCCTCAAAGAGGAGGGGGTCAATTTATTTTCCAAAGCACCAGAGGGCAGGACAAGGAACAAGAGATGGAAACTAATCAAGAAGAAAAGCAACCTGGAATTAAGGAGAAACAGTGAGGACAATTAACCAGTGGAACAGCTTTATTCAGAAGTTGTGGGTCCTTCAATCACTGGAAGTTTTAAAGAAACTGGACAGTCACTTATCTGAAATGGTATAGGGCAGTGATGGCGAACCTTTTAGACACTGAGTGCCCAAATTGTGTGTGTGCCCAAACTGAAAGATGCACATGGAATGTGCGGAAATGCACACATGAGCAGCAGAGACCCGAAGACCAGCTGGCCAGTGGGAGGCGGGGCATCCCAACACTGGGAGCAGGGCATGAGGTAAGATATTTTTCTTTTGTGTGCTTCTGTTTCTTCATTTGTAGGGAAACAGAAGCTCACGAAAGAAACCCCACGGAGATCTGACCTGGGGCGATGGCATGCATGCTGGCAGAGAAGGCTGTAGGTGGCGCAGTGGTTAAATGCGGCACTGCAGGCTACTTCAGCTGACTGCAGTTCTGCAGTTCGGCTGTTCAAATCTCACCGGCTCAAGGTTGACTCAGCCTTCCATCCTTCCGAGGTGGGTGAAATGAGGACCCAGACTGTGGGGGCGATATGCTGACTCTGTAAACCGCTTAGAGAGGGCTGAAAGCCCTATGAAGCGGTATATAAGTCTAACTGCTATTGTATGTGCCACCTCTGGCACGCTTGCCATAGGTTCTCCATCACGGCTACTGGGTCTCCTGCTTCAGCAGGGCGCTGAACTTTAAGACCTCCCTATTTTGATTGAATTGGGTCCACAATACTTGCTGATGTCATCACTCCATCTTATTGGCCTAGGAATATGTTGCAGCAGAATATCTAGTTCTTCTTCATATATAATTATCTTTCTTTCTTTGAGTAATATAAATAAAAATACTGAACAATTGGTAAACTTCATCTGCCAATGGTAGCACTGACCATATTTAAGATATAATTCTTGTTATTTGTGATGATAGATTTATTTGTAAAATCTGAAGAGATAAAATTGTTTTAATCTCAAACTACTATTCTACAAAATAGTGATAAAAGGAATTCCCAAACCCATAATTCATTTATACATTAGTTCTGCTTCTTCCTCTGAAAATAAAGAGGTAAATGTTTTATAAACATTAGCAACTTCATCCATTACATTTGCTCTGTAAGAATGTTTCCTCATGGCTCTACTGCAACTGTCATGATAAAAAGTTTTTTCTTATCTCTTTTATACTTATCTTGGAATCAAAAGAAACATAGAGTGGGAAGAAACCACACTAATTAGTTCATAGACACATGCACATTCACATGTAGCAAAGCAGGAAATCTCCCAATATGGCCATAACAATGTCATAAGGAATTATTTGCATAACTGCACTTTTGAAAACATGAGGAAATTTGTGTAAGTATGTAAGTACACACACACACTTTATGTTATCTATATCCACTATCCACTGTCCTCTATAAAGTATATTGTAAAGTGGTGGTTTGCAGATTCAATCAAAACATAGCAATATTTAAAATAATATGTAGATGATCCCTACATTTTGTAAAAAACAAAAATAATAAAGCAAAAAAATTATTTTGAAGGCCTCTGGAAATGTTGCTACAGGTAGTCTCAACTTATAAGCACAATTGCAACAGGAACTTGCAGCTTTAATTGCTAAATGAATTAAATGAATTAATTAAATGAATTTCCCGCCCAATTTTATGATCTTTATGTTGCAGTTGTTAAGTGAGTCATGCAGTCAGTAAGCAAATCCAGCTCCTCCCATTGACTTTGCTTGTTGGAAAACCTCGAGGAAGGTTGCAAATGTTGATCATGTGATCAAAGTATAAGGCATTGCAACCATCATGTTGGTTGGTTGCCAAGCATCCAAATTGTAATCATGTGACCGCAAAGATACTGCAACATTCATGTAAGGACTGTTTGTAAGTTTTTTTCAGTGCCATTATAATTTTGAATAGCCATTAAACAAATACTTTAAGGACTAAGGACTATTCATACAGATAACACAGGCCTCCCTAGACAGAAACTACAGAGTCTAGATGCAGCCACTACAAAGGCAGACTCCTCAGTCTGAACAGGATCAATATCAGGCAGATTGAGAATATGTAAGAAGGCCAGACAAATTTTGGGAGATTTATAGGTGAAAAAGTGGTTTTATTTTTACTCTAAACCATTCTGGCTTTTTACCTGGAAAAGAAACTGGAAGCCAGGCAAGTTATTTCAATAAAGGAATGACATGCAGCTCTCTTTATGAACATCTGGTAATAAATGGGCCTCAGTGATCTGGACAAACTGTCAGTCTTGTCCTGTCTGACTTTGCCATTTTTTTCTCTCAATAACAAGATGGATCTCAAGTTAGAAGGTTTTTGCTCTGATTTCTGTTGCCAGCAAGCAACAAATAATTGAAGTTTAGGCTTCTGCATAACTAAATTCAGAGTTGTTAGGTAGGTGGTTGTCTGTACACATACGTACATGCTGTATAGATACTGCATACACATATATGTACACTTTGAGCTTATGCACTGGAGACAAATACACACACACACACACACACATCAAATTAAGTAGAGGTATGTCTGTATGTGTATTCTAGCTGAACTCTTAGCTATCTTTTAAAAAAATATGGATACACTTTCTTATTTTGGACACAAATACAGGAAGAAATCCATGACATGGATTTAGATAAGTAGCCTCTATATTTTTAGGTACTAATAATTAAAATTAATCATTAGTAGTTTTCCCCATCTCTTTTTTCTCTCTCTTTTATCCTCCTCTAATGCAATCTTTTCTCTCTGTTCTCTCCCCATTCCATCTATCCTTTTTCTTTTATCTGACTTCTTTTTAAAAAATGTAAACAATAGAAAAAGCATCAATGAGTGAAGCCAACCGTGAGTTTCAATCCATTAACTGAAGACCAAAAACTTATATGACTTGGCATTACAGATAAAGTATTTCAGGTATTCTCTCTATTTAAATTAAAGATGTTAAAATTTTAAAGCAAAAGCTAAGTTAGCTCTAGAAAAACTTGTATATCTTCCAATCCTTTTCCCCTAAACTCCATGCTTTTATACATTTAGTTCTTCATTATGACATCATTTTGGAAAAAAATGAACAATTTTTTTTTTAAAAAAATAGTGTTGCCTGATATTTACTTTAAATATCAACTTTTGAATTTTTTAAAAAAAAATTAACAGAAAAGAAACATGAAAAAGAGACTGTCAAAAATAAGAGTACAGACTTAAACATCTTTCTCCCCAAATATAAATGAATCATCTTATGCATGACAGAGCAGAATCACCTCATGTATCAACAACCTTACCCAAAACTCTTTCATTTCTAGAATTTGGCAATCCTCCTGTGCTAGTTGAAAGATCTTCTGGTACAGGCATGGGCTCATCAGTGTCATCTGGAGCATCACTTACTGGAGGACTTTCTTTCCCTGATAATAAAAGAGCAACCCCACCAAGTTAGAAAAGTTGTCTGTTTATTTCTTTTCAAATAAGATACATATAATATTGATAGTGATTCCAAGACCATACTAGCAATAGCAATAGCAGTTAGACTTATATACCACTTCATAGGGCTTTCAGCCCTCTCTAAGCGGTTTACAGAGTCAGCATAATGCCCCCAACAACAATCCGGGTCCTCATTTTACCCACCTCGGAAGAATGGAAGGCTGAGTCAACCCTGAGCCGGTGAGATTTGAACAGCTGAACTGCAGAACTGCAGTTAGCTGAAGTAGCCTGCAGTGCTGCATTTAACCACTGTGCCATCAAATCATGATGTTGGCTTTTGATTAGCAAGAATTTTAAAACTAAAGGCAGATTTTGAATTGAACAAAGCCCAAAGATTAGTAAGTATATTTGCTATGCTCTCCTTTTGTATCAATACAATGCAATGCAAATAATTTTATTAGTCTTTTCAATTCTTTTCTTTCGATTCAATTCTTTTAATACATTGAATTGAAGCCAGGTCATTTTCAATTAAATCCTATTGAAATCAACAAAAATTGTAGAAATGATTAACTTTTTATATTGATTTGTACGTCCCTAACAGCAACAAAGTTAATATATCAGACTGCTGAATAAGGAGAAACAGATGATGGAGAATTTGGAATATCTTTTTGAATTGATTTCTATTTTGACTCTACATTGTTTCATATATTAATCCTCTATATTGAAAGGAAACGTTGAAAAGGACACATAAGATAAGTGCACATTTTTTGTCACATTGATAGTCCTAACTTTTTGCACATAAATGGTTGAAGTATATTTTTTGGGAGAATACATATATAATATGCACTTTTTAACCACTTATACTATAACAATTACAAGATGTTTGCCTCCTTCTGCAAATAGCTTTAACATCAAAGCAAACACTAGTTTGCTGCTGGGTATTCCTAAATTCTGCTTTAATACTACCTGTCAAATAAATAGAATTTGTTTTTCTAATCTGGGTATCTTTCCTTTTGAAATATATAATCAAGTAAATAAATACATTTTATTTATTGTGCTACATATAGGCTCTTCTCCTGAGCACCAAAGAGTATTTGGTGCTCACATTTCATGCCTTAACATCGTTTACATTGTTAGTCCCAGATAAGTCAGAGTTGTGTGGCAATTTTAATAGATGTGTAATCATGCTAATATTTTCTAGCAGATGACTTTCAAAGTGGAAAGATGAATGAAATAGTAAATCTTCATTTAATTTAAGCATGTTAAGAATAATAACTGGAACTGGCTGTGCAATTGCAAACAAAGAAGTTAACACTGGGACCAAATATTTAAATGGCATGAAGGCATCTGAGTCCCCAATGTGTTTCTTTGCTGTATGATAGAAACCAGGCCCAAATACATGTTTCAAGTCTGCTCCATGCATTTCATTCATTCTGTTTAATTAGAGAAATGTTCTTATACAAAACAGTGAGGCTAGTTTTCTAGCAGTGCCACACCTGCTATTGCCATGCCATCTCAGCTTGGCACATCATATTCAAGTAACATCAAACAATTCTTTTAGCCAAGATAAAGTTCCAAAAGGCTTATTTGACAATTCTTTTTGTTATCCAACTGACAATACTTCAGATACTAGATCTTGGCTGTAAATAACCATTTGATCCCTAAATGGCAGGAAAAGCCTTTCTTGCTAACAGTAACAAAACACCTTGATTTTACTCTGTAAGAAAAGACAGATCACAAAAGAACAGAGAAGGGTGATATGATAATTTTGGGGGAATAGCAGACAAGCTGTTCCTTACATACATCTAGTGACCTGCAGAATTTTTGCAGCCTAAATAAAATAGCCGTATTCTAATATCCTTATCATTTTTCAAAAAGGGGTTATAGTTGTACAAACAAGCTAGTCCAAACAAGTTGTAATGCAAGGTGTATGAAAGAGATCCCATTATAATATACAGTACTATAGCTAGGGCCAACAAACATGGTTCATTATGCAAAAACCCACCCATCTCAATCCAAACCATTCTGAACTTGATCACTCCCAGCCCTGAGCATCAACTATCACTCATCTCTGCCTTTTTGGCTGCCCTGCATCCTGCCTTGTGGGGTGGCAAGCAGCTCCAGAACTGTGTGATTTTGGTGCTGCTTACCACACTCAGGAAAGCCAGTGCTGCCTTAGCCCAGTTCCAGCCACAATAGCCCTTACCATCTGCAGTCTGAAACCCCTTCTGCCCTGCGTCCTATTGCCACAGCTGTACCTGGCTGGCTGCTATACTGACTGGGCCTAGGTTTCACTCTATGAAGAAAGCAATTCTCAGTAGTGTAGCACAATGGAACTTTTTGGCATGCCACAACTCTGGAACAAAGCCCAACCACCACCACCACACCACCCCAGCCGCCACGGTAGGAACATCTCATCATCAGTGGGAGTAACAAGACAGTGAAGGGCACCTGGGACAGTGGAGTACAGGAAGGAAGGGGGAGGAAATGCATAGATGGGGGAAAGATAATAGATGGGGGACCTGAAGCAGCTCTGTGATCCTAAGTGCAGGCTGGTTGCCAAGTGCCAAATTTTGATCCTTTGACCATCAGGACTCTTCAGTACATAATTTCAGGTACAGATCATAAGTTCAGCCTATCTGAAACTTTGATTGAGAAAGGAGGTCAACTTATTTTCCAAAGCACCAGAGGGTAGGATAAGAAACAATGGATGGAAACTAATCAAAAAGTGAAGCAACTTGGAATTAAGGAGAAACTTCCTAACCAATGGAACAACTTGCCTTCAGACACTGTGGGTGATCTATCACTGGAGGCTTTTAAGTAGAGACTGCACAGTCACTAGTCTGAAATGGTATAGGGTTTCCGGCTTAAATATGAGGTTGGACTAGAAGACTTCAAAGGTCCCTTTCATCTCTATTCTGATTGAATTGAATGGTTGCTTACTGAATGGTTATAAATCAAGGACACCTGTAATCTCTGGGCTTCCCACACTGGTGTGACCTATTGTTGAATTTTCACTGTCATTTAATTTTCAATTGAGTAAGGAAATAGCTCATTTCAAAAAAGACTGCTTTCTGGAATGGAATTGAAGTGTGGATGGGAAGCTTATCATGTAGGAAGCCCATTTCAAATCCTTCTATGGCTGTATATCTGCTATTTTAAATATAAACTTACAGCTGTTTTAAGGCATGGAACCATTCTGCTTTTCCTTTTGCCAGCCAATATGCTGTTGAACCTTCTCCTACTTACGCAGGCAAGGGAAGCAGAAGGATTTCCCTGTTGTTCAATCCCATGTTGTTAGGGAGTTTCTATCTGTTAGGCATTATCTGTTGAATGGCTCATATGTGTTACAATTATTCCTACTTCATAAAGAAAGGATGGATAATGTTGTTGACTCAGAGGGATCTGAATCAGTCATTCAGGGACTATATTTATGACCATGCCTATTTGGACACTTGCATACACAATGCTCCTTCCCACATGCATATATACTTATCTTAATCTACACATATATACAGGAACATGACAGCTTAACATCTTTTAGGAGTAGAAAGAAATGATAGAAATAAAATATAATAATGCTTATCTGCTATTCCAAATTAAGAAGAAAAAACTATGGTGCTTCAGGTATCTTTACCCATAATTTTGGTCTATCTTTTCCTAAACAGTGAAATCACAGTGTTTTGTTGCCATTAGTAGCAATAAATTAGCCTCAGGTGATAAGTAAGAAGAAATTATTAATTTATTATTTAGTTATTAAATATGGATTCTTACTCAAAACCTATTAAGGAGTGCATAGGCATAACATATAGCTTAAAAAGTGCAAATTTCCAAGCAGACACATTGATTAAATGTGATGAATATGCACACTGAGGTATTGTATATTTTATCTGTTAACATGTATTAACATGGCACTTATATGATGTGTAGATCATCTAACATCTTAGATGCTCCCGGTTTCTAATATTTTTTTGAGAAGCATTTTTTTCTGACACTATGTATAATTTTATATATATCAACATTATCTTACTTCACTCATTTTGTAAACTAAAACACAAATTACTGTAATTTTTATTGATAATAATTCTTCCAACTCCTTCATGAAGAATGTTCTTTTGAGGTGAGATGACAAGTTTTCACAAATCATGACTTTTTTATGCTTGTGTCAGACATCAGGATCATCACACCCATTTATATTGTCACTTTGATGAAATCACAGTTTACTAAAGATGCCTCTTGTAATAAAAATGATTGACGGGAGTACAATAATGGCAGATTTATTTTTGATTTCTTGCCTAATGATATCTGGATGTTCTACTTTTCTGTTGTTTCTCAAGTTATTTGCTGTGTGTGTGTGCATGCGTGTATATAAGTATGTATGTGTGTATATATACATACATTCTCACAAAGCATCTTACAAAAACAGACACCTTAACAAGTAAACAGATAGCAACATTAAAATATATAGAATTGTATAATCTGCTTTGAAATATACATTATGAATCCTCCTCTAAACAAAAAAGGACCCGTCCTGGCTCAGCTGCAATACCAGGTGGTTTCTGAACATAGAGCCAAAATTAGTCATGATTATCAATTTAATGTTATTTGTATCATGATTTACAAAAGGCATTGGATTGAAGATTTGGGCATAGATTGGCCTGTATAGGAATAGGCAATCTAGTTGGTAACTTGGGCTAAATCATGTAAGGCTCTGTATGCTGAAGACAGCACAATTTCACTGAACTATTTCCATTCTCTCTTAGACCAAATGCTTTTTGTAATCCATTACTGTTGCTGTTGACCTTATGAGTTAATATGTGAACCTGTAATGGGAGGAGACTCCCCAACCAAAGCACCTGCTAAGGGATGAAATAATTTTCCCTCCTTTCTCCATATGATGGACTTCAGGTGCATAGGAGAGACCTGATCAAGGGAAATGCTATTCTACCTTTCTTAGCAATAACTTTCATAAACTTGAATAACT